AAACACACCCCTAGTTTGCTTCTCCCTTATTTAAAAAAAAAACCACACAGCACCTTTTAAATAAAAAAAAAATTTGTGGTGAATTTGAAGCAGATGCTAAATCAATTTGGCTTAAGAGCCTGCAGTTCATACTCCTGAGACCAAGTGATGAATCTGATTTAAGGACAAGTTATCCTGTACAAAAAACTAGATTTACAGATGTAATTAGCAGCTGCTTTACCACCATTAATCTCATGTATGAAGGGAGGTGTCCATATGGGCTCTCCATTTTTAGCCCTTAAGGTAAAGACCAGTATGGGATATTTTCCCCATCATGGAAAGTGGCAAAGGTGATATTACCTTCAGGCAAAACCATTCCCAGGGTTCCTGAGGAAGAGGAACACCCAAGCCTGTCCCCATTTAATTTAAGGAGGTGAAAGGGAAGTTCCCTCTTGCCTCTCTCCATATCTACCTAAACCAACACACCAGAGGATGCAGCCTCCAAAAGAAATGGCAACCAACAAGAGCAACCAACAACTAAAATAAAAAATAAAATTTACAATAATTTAACAAAATCAATTTAATAAATTAAATATTAAAGGAAAGGAAGTATTAAATACATGTGATTTGAAAAAAAAAAGCTTTATTTCAAAATTTTATTTAAAAATTAATAAATAAACAAAAATGGGTGCACATACTTTATATGAAACATTTAGTTGGTTCTAAATAATACTTTATCAAATAAATAAACTCCAGTTAGAAAAAAATAAAATAGTTCTCTTGCAAAGATGACAGGATACTGCCAAAACATCTTATCTCATTTTCTTCTGAGAAAGCCCTTTTCAGAAAGTGAGGTCATTTTTTCTAGCCTTATATCTAAAAATAGTGCTGTGTGCTGCTCTGTTGAAGTATCTTTGACAGGATGCATCATGGCAGTCTTTCTAACAGCTGTGAGTGACTGCAGCAGTTGTACCAGGACAAATGCACATGTGTGTATACAAAATGCACTCACAAATGGAGCAAGGAACAAAGCAGTTCCTTGGGTCTTTGAAGATCCGTCTTGCCCAGAAGCATAAACCCTGGTTTGTATGCAGCACTGTAGCAATTCTTTAAGATGAGACATGGATACAGCCCAAACCACAAAAAACACCTTTTATGTGTTAAGTGTTGCTAATTGAAACAATTTGCCATGCTTCATTTATGTTGCAGAAACTTCTGGCATGTTGTTTCAAAGTCTTTGTAAAAGGACTGTTCCTTCCTCCAGGCTCTATGAGTTCTCCACGCCACCATCCCTCAGTTTTAAAGAAGATCACTAAGTTGGAGGTTAAAAGGTATTTATATTCAAGAAATATATCCTCTACTTTTTGTTTTTGTTTCCAGCTTTGAAGTTTTTGGGGAGGCAGATTTGCTCCCACCTTTGTGTATATCAGTCTGCAGTTAGATGCTGGCTGGTGAAGATGTGCACATGGATGAGTGAAATCCATCCGGTGTTTTGCTTTCTCCTTCCTCCCCCCAGAATGTTCACAGACTTAAATGTTATCTCTGTCACACTCACAGGTATCCCAGCATAGTTTCTTCAGAGTAACATGATTCTGTCCCCCCCAGAGTCAAGGAGTTAAAGTCTGGTGTCAAAAATAAAAACTACTTTCTCATTTCCTACTGGTGCTCTACAAATTTTGCTGTAATGCAACATAATAGTAACTTGTCTTTTGATCTATCTGGAAATGTAACTAGACTATTCAGAAACAAGCTTAAAAATAAAGCAATTACTGAGTATTTTGATAGCTCAAGATTGTCCAAACCTTACAAATTCAAGCCCAAGAAGCAAGAGGTATCTTTCCAGCTTTCCTGGTTTGGGCAACAAAACCCTGAACTTCTCTTTGCTCTTCAAAAGGAAATTACATTTGGGCCAGGAATTCTGCAACTGCTGTCCTCCTATGGACACCCATCTTTCAATTAACAGCTATAATTAGACTTAGAAATTTTCATTTTTAGATAAAGATCACTGCCAGGGAATTACTCCAGAACGGCACAATTGCAGTAAAAATGCAAATGATAAGCACTTCATGAAGTGGCAGTTTTGGAGAAGGCCAAGGGACTGGATGATCCTTGTCATGTTTCCCAAGCCTTCCAAGAGGAGATCTCATTAAGTCTAGGATCCCTCCTCAGCAATTACTTGGATCCTCAGTAGTAAGGATTTCAAACATCATTTTCTATGTATGTTAAACTTGCCCCAAAATAAATAAATTCATAAAAAATAAAAATCCCCAAAAGAGCAATCAGTATGTACTGATTCCATGAGCTTATATTTAGAACAAAATAGGCTTCATACAGTTCCATAAGGGTCATTGCTAGGCTGAAGGACTGTTCATAAAATGTGCTATTATCCCTGAAAATAAATTAATTTTGAATTCAGTTTTATGTGTCAGTTGGACATAAATTACAAACATCTCAACCCTACTGAGAAGCCACTGAACTGTTTATTTTTATATGAAATCTACAAATATTTTACAACCCTTCTCCTCAATGATCTGACCATGTGCCTTTAAAAACAGTCATTAACAGTGTATCACTGGCTATGCAAGAATAAGGACATGCACAGAGAGCAGTTTATTATCTCAGGAAACCAAGTTCCCTAGAAACCCCTTTTTATTGTCCAGAGTGATGGCAGAGCTACTAACAGGCAGACACCAAAATATTTCAGCCTGAGTTCACACACACACAAAAAAAGGAAATACATTAGTTATTCCAGTTGGCAGTAGCATTATTATTTATTTATTTAATAATAAAAAAAAATAAGCCACAACTTAATGTAAAACAACTGAAATCTATGCCTGAACTCTTTCTTTAAACACACCAAATAGGCAGTGAAAGTCAACCTTAGACTGGGGACATCTGTAAACTAAGGTTTATACTGCCACATGAAAAGCTGAGTTAAAACAGAACACATAAAAGTATTAGTCAATAAGAATCATATTCTCAAGGATCAAGAGGCTGTGAACAAAAGCCCAACCTCCATTATGTTTTCTTCATGTTGGTTACAAAGAACATGAACTAAAAATTTCATCTGAAGAACTGCAGAAGTTGAGCTAGAGGGATGAGAAAGCCTTGAATTTCTATTACAGACTATTCAATGAAAGAGAAGTGAGGAACATTGACCAGACAAATGCACAACTGGACTACGCTGATAAAATAATTATTGGCAATTCAGTTATCTGACAATAGCTGATACCAGTATTGCAGAAATATTTTTAACTTCTCAAATGACATCAAAATGATCCAGTACACTTTGAAATATGTGATCCCAGTGAGTAGCCAGAGACCTAGGGGTACACATTTCGGTATTGAAAGTGATAAAAATGTGCAGGAAGATACCTGAAACAATTAAAGGCACTTTTAGGTGGCATGTCTTTTGATATATGCTACAGCAAACTGTGTCAGGTATGACATTATACTGAATTGTGTAGAGGTCCAAACAGTATTAACACACTGTTAAATACACACACTTGACCAAATAGTCAATGAGCAGTGCCAGCATAGTTAACACAGGAAGAAATCCACACTTTTACTTAATGTAAACAGTAAGATTTCTAATAAAGGCATTTTAATTTTAAATATTATTATATGTTTAGCATCATTGCATGCAACACCTGTCTAAAAGTTTCATGTCACTGTGTATCGCTAGGCCAGAAACAGCCACGGTAAGGTATCTGGAGAGAAATTCCAGTCGTTGAGTCTAGTGCTGCTCACAAAATTACAAACACCCTCAGTAAACTGCACACCTGAACAAGGCAGAAATTTGTATATAAAAGGCTACTCATTCGCACAAGGAATCTGACCCTCGTATTGTCAAAGGCACAGAAACTGAGGGGCATACAGCTAACTACAGCACTTAAAATGAAACCTGATTTCAAGACATACCTTTCAGGGGCAGCTAGACAGCTGACATGTAAGTTCTGCCAGAAGTCAAGAACTCTCCCCACCATCATAACAACATGGTTACTAAATTCAGACTGATACACCAAAAAAAAAAAAATTTAAAACATCTAGGCTTTTCTTATGGATTCATTCTTTGCATTTCAGAGATATCAGCTGCTGTAAACAATTTTCTTTACCCTGTATTTTAAACCTTAGTAACAAGTGAAGTAAAAAGCACTGGTAAACAGCTGAATGACCACATCATTATTTCTTTATTGAATCCTAACTCTCACTTGAACCAAAAGTGCAAGGTATTAGTAAAATGTCACAGGCACCTGAACCACAAATTGGTTTAGACTTTTGAAATTGTTTTGTCAAAGAGCAAATAAATAGTCTTTGGTGTAAGCTCACATGGTGCAATCCAAGCATAACAACATCAGCTGAAACTTAGAGAAAGCCCCTAAGTTGTCTTCTGAAGGAGAAGAGCCCAAGCTCAAGTGATCACACACATTTACATGCATGGAGCTCTTCCAGTAAGCACAAGTGGTGTTTCACTACGTTCAGACAGCCACTGGCATGCTAAATCTGATGGATTTTCAAGCTGCAAGCAATGGAAAGGAGACAGTCACTTTTGGTCAGATACTAGCAGATCGCCTGGACGTGTGCAACCTGGAGCTGCCTTGAGACAGTCTGCATCTTCTAGGAGTCACCAACCAACACTCAGACAAATAATGGTTTGTGAGAGGAGGAAATACTGGACAGAACACTCTCCCCACTACCAGCATCCAGTTTTAAGCTGGTGGTTAGGAATTAAATTTCCTGATGCCCATATAGTAGAAAGCACAGCTTTGGCACCTATTTCACAACCAGTCCTGGAGAGTCCTGACTGATACTGAGTTTGCTAGGTGTTCACTTTGAAACTAAAAGCTATCAACTGCTGAAGTAAAAAAAAAAAAAGACAAAAAACAACTGAAAACACACACATGAAACAAAACAAGATAAAAACATATTTAAAAATAACACTCCTCTTCAGTATGTTTTTGTCTTGGGCCACTGTCCTTACACCTGTGTTTCCACAGGAAACTGCTATACCTGCCATAAAATTATTCCACTAAACCATCCCGTTCCTTATTTTCCAGCAAGGGTACGCTTGTATCTCCCTTATCCTTTTTATTTGCATCTCCATTGTTCTCTGACTGCCCTGATTTCTGATGAGCAAACGTGTAAGTGTCTTGGTCTGTGTCTGTCAGGGGCAGAGGTTCCTCCTCGGTGTTAGAAGAGCGTTTAATGTCTTTTCTAAAGGAGAATGGAGGTGGAGAAGGTGGCAAGCTACCAATGGGTCCATCAAAAGGCCGATAGACATCGACTTCTGGAGAGACTGAGCCATTGGATTCCTTCAGTAAGTGTCCATAGACCACAGCATCATCAATAACTGCATAGACATGAGACTCATTGTTTTTCCTCTCTTTTCCGAATAAACCTTTTCTTCCAGGCATCTGGGTGTTCACATTACTATTGTACACTCCCACCATGGGATTCTGGGTTTTCTTCTTCCTGTTACAGAGGTGAAATTGTTAACAGATTAAAAACAGCACGTCTGGCGTGTTGGAACTCAATAACAACACCTTCTGTTCACTCATCCCAACCATACAGTGTCAGGCAGTCTACCTGGATTAAAGGCTTTACTTGTAATTTTGGGAGAAATATCTTTGACATTCTTTTTTAACAGAGCAGAAAAAAACTTCATGCTATTTGGTTACCCACTGCTGCTCTCTGACACTGAAGTTTGCAAGATTAACTCCAATGGTCTCTCAAGCACTGGGGCTCTGGCTGTGCACTGAACTGAACTGAGTTCCACAATATCCACTGGCACTAGTAAGACCCAGAGACCATTAGATCCTCACAAAAACATGGCTCTGTTACTGAAGACAAGACAGTGTGTCAAAATGAAAGTCAAGTGAATTTTTCTAAATTATATCTTCCTGACTCACTGACCCCAAACTGGAAAGAACAAAGGCTGAACTTAAGACTTTTAAGTCTGCACTTGTAAAGTCTTTCCTGTGGGGCAGAAAAACGTGCTCTTAACTGCACTAGTCACCATATTGCATAACTTCATTCCAGCTCTACAGCTTCAGGACCAACCACCTTGACAGCACTGAGCATACATGTATCAGAAAGCCCAGGCTACCAATGACTTCAGACTCTGCTCATATGAGCAATGCCATGCATGTAAGCTTTGCACAACTCACTTCTCTCCCCAAGGGCTCATCTCACAGAAAATTGCTCCCACTTGATGTGCAAACTTCAGAAGTTGCTGGAGGCTGTGCGGATGAAAGAAAGCTCTTAGTGTATCTGCATGAGTTCACAGCTTGTTTGAACAAAGACCTGAGTGGAGTCATGCATGCAACAGCCACATTCATTGGGATTTCATGTTGCAGGGACTGCTGAGGAGGTCCAACCAACACCTGACTCACAGTACACCTGAAAGCCTGCACTTAAGGCCAAGGAAAGCAGTGCTCTGCAGGTTGAAATAATGTGACTCTGGGAATGCTGCTCTGCTCTTGCAGTTAGTCACTTTAGAGTAAAGAAGCATTCTCGGGGTCAACACTACTTCCACTGTGCCTTCCTCATGCTTTAGATCCTGGTTCAAAGGATATCAATACATGAAAGACAGGGCCCAGCAGCTCTCCCAAAATACCCTCTTGAACTGCTAAGTTACACAAGCTGAATTATGAACTTACTTCTTCTTAACACAGCACACGGCCAGTCCAATCACTGTGAGAACTCCAGCCCCAGCCACCACAGCAAGTATGATTCCAAGGTCTGCAAACAGACAAGGAACAAGGACACTGAGCAAAAGAAGGAACACCCAGCTTTCTCTTAAAATTTGTCTGGGTTTGAACCCCTTTAAGAGTTTTCTAAGCATAGCAGCTGCTGGCAGAGCAGGAGTTCCTAAGCCACGCTTGCCACAGGGCAACACAAGCCATTTCCAAGAGATTGGAGGCCAAGCAACAATAAACTCCTGCTGTTGACAGTGGAGCACAATCAAAAAAACCAACCAAACCACCCTCCTCCAAGAGTTTTTGATACAGCCCATGCACTGCTAAACTTACCTACAGTATCTCACACGTCTCCGACTGAATAGGCAAAGAAGAGATGAAAACACAGAAAGAAATAGAGAAGGACTCAAAAGAAATAATACTGGCATTTCCACAGATTCCCCTCAGAACCATCTTGTCACTGAAATATACAGGTTGTGTTTACCTGGGTTTTTCTAGGACTCATAAAATTGATTAGGGAAGTCTAGGCATAAGCAAAGAAAAATGCTGCAAGTTTCAAAGGAAGCACAGATTAAAAAAAAAAAAAGATCAAAAAATTAGAAAGTGCAAATGTGAAGCAAATTTACATAAGCAAAGCCTACCCTCAAAATGCCCCCTCATCTTAAAAAAAAAAAAAAACTGTTCATATTTCAGGGAGATGCAAGAGAACAAGAAAACAGAATTTGCTGGTAGCAGTTAGGGCCCAATCTCCATTAAATGGTCAGACCTGTCCTAGGGAGGATTTCTTGCTCATGTGAACACTGAGACTAATTGAACTGCTAACATGAAGTGAGGACTACTTGAATGAATAACTTAGCATAATCAAATCCCAGGTTGTTCACTAGGTCTGTGACCCTGGAAGGCAAAAACATCACTTGATCTTATTATATATTCTGTCTGTTATCTCCATTTAAAAAAGCTAAATTAATTTTTTTTTTTTAATGAAATCTGGTCCTACTACCTCGATCCTTGCCGTTTCTTGTGTCAATGAAAGAAAACCCAGAAACACACCTCCCCCCTGCTCCATAAACCATACCACATTAAAATCCCTCCTTCCTCCCCAGCTCCTAGAAACATCAAGCTGAAACTCTCTGAAGTTTTTGAGGGACAGACTTCCAAAGGCAGGAATCTCATAAACTGCTTTGTGAGATTCCTGGAGGACCATCATCCATTACCGTTACCTCAGAGGAAAGCAAGGAAACAAGCAGAAGACCAACCACCACAACCTTACAGGACTCACCTATCTGCTTGTCAGCAGAAGTCACCCAGAACTGCAAGGCCAGCTGTGTCTTATCCACAGGTCTGCAGTTGGAGACGTTCACCCAGAAGCTGTGGAGCATATTTCGGGGCTGGGGCAGGAGCTCATCCTCACGGCGCACGATCTCCTCTGCTCCCAGAGTCTCTTCCTTGATGTTGACATAGGCACGGCCCGTCTCACAGGCAACGCCCATGCGGTCCTCGGAGAACCCAAGGCGGGCAGTTTGCTTGCTGGGCACAACGATGAACCAGGATATGGAAACGTAAGGAGGTAAACCATGAGGCCAGTTGGGAGTCTGCAAGTAAACTTTAGCTTTTGGATTTGGACTCACAGTGAATATGCACTCATCTGTAGCAAAGGGAAAGAAGAAAACTTAGTTTTGACAATTATTGTCCTTTCCCACATCAGTGTTATCACAATAAATACAGACATACCTGCAGAATTTGCCACAATCAACTATCCACTACCTAGAATACAAAGCTCCTTCTCTCTTCCTGAAATAAACCATATCACTGGTTCACACAAAGATTGATTCTAGAATCTAGTCCTACAGCCATTGCTAAATAATTGAACTCTTAATTTCTGTTTATCCATAAGTGCTTTAATAAGCCTATTAAGAGATCACCGTACAACAAAGTAGTATAAAATACACTACCTTACCTTTAATATGTGGCACAAAAGACATATTCAAATCCTGAGGGACAGACCCATTGATGAATCCTTTACCAAATGTATTTAAGGATATGGTGATATTATTCCTCATCTGAATCTTTTCAATAGATCCACCAGGACAGAATATGCCAACATTCAGCTCTGTCTCTGGGGTGGCACTAACAATGCTGTAACCATAACTCGTGTTGCACCTCTGCTCTTGGACACGTTGCTGAAGTTTCAAGGACGGAGATGTAATTTCTATGTTGATCATATCAGTGGCCAAGAGCTTCCAAATAAACGTATGCAGTCGAATTGGCAATCGGGTAATAGCCTTAGGCACTGAAAGGGAATAGATCTTCCTCTGACACCAACGAATATCCATACAGCCTGCAAAAACAAAAACAAAATCCCAAGGGCTGGGCATTTCTTGCAAATGAAATACCTGGGCACACGCAAAGTACTATCAGGTCTGCAGACCCAGATAAGCATCTACCTAGAGAAAAGATCCTCTCTTAGTAACCTTTATCCAAACGTGTATTGTTTGTATTTAAAGAGCTTTCCTTAACAGGTGCAGGACACCAAAAAAACAAACATATTCACTCAAGATATACCTGCTGACTGAGACATTGCTGCAGACTAGTCAAGGTACAGATACTTCAAGTCTCTTTTCTACCTGTAGTTGAAACCATTTGGGAAAATCCTATAGCAAGGAGACACGTATGCAGAACAAGATGCACTCCTGATGGCAACCTTGGTCCTGTATTTTCATGAGCAGATTTATGGCTCTCTGGTTCTGTTTCCATATTTTGCAGTGACTTAGGTGACTTCTATCTCTTCTCTTCTAGGAAAAGCTATGCAGTTTCTATTCTTAAAGGCAGAGTGATGTACTGAACAAGGTCACCTCCAGATTCATTGTACCCATCTCCCAGCTGGCCAACACCTGGTTTCCAACCTCAATCCATTTAAAGCCAAAGCAAGGGAGCAAGTTTGGCTGACCCCTGGGGAAAAACATGCAAAAGCATTCCCTAAGGAATAGCATCAAACCACCTTTGTAGTACCTATGCCTTTTTCAGCCGTGATCCTCAGCCGGGACAAGTCCTTGCACAGAAAGGAGATCTTGTAGACAGCACCAGAGGTTAAAGTCAAGACACGGTCACAGGTGCGAGGATCCTTGCAGATCAGGCATATGGGTTCAGACATGAGGGGGATGTGGCTGGGCCACCCTTCCGAGTGTATTGTCACAGTCACGTTCTTCTCCTTGCTCAGGTCGACCAAATGGGTGACATCTGCAACAAAAAACACCCCAGAGCAATTACAGCCAAGAAGCACAGTTTGAAGCAGAACTTCCTTCACCTCTTCTCACCCCGTTATATGAGCAGCTGTTACACCAAATACTTGGAACATCTGAAAGGAGAAAATAGGAGGAAAGAGGAAAAAAATGCAAGTGTAGTTCATAAAGATTGACTGTCATGTGGAAAGATAGGTTTTGGATCCATGCAACATCCTGATGCTGTTACTAAGGCACTTCTCTCTGATGTCAAAGAAAGCAAGCAGCCAAGTGGAAGTGTCCCTGCCCATGGCAGGGCAGTTTGGAACTGGATAATCTTTAAGGTTCTTTCCAACCCAAACCATTCAATGATTCTACAAAGGACAGGGGGAAAATAGTACATACACACATACTCTATTATTACTCTTCATTTTCTGGTTTTAGCTTTAGCTACAGATCTCAGAGTCATACACAAAAGTGAATAAAATAGCTTTCTCCTGTGTGGGAGATCAGTCAGACAAAAAAGCAAGTGGTCAAGTGGAATTATCCAAGTCATTGGCACAACAAATTGGACTCCTAATGCAAGGTTATAACTTTTCAGAATGTTTTTTCCTGCAGCAGCTAAACATAGGAAGAGTCAGATCAAGAAGTTATTGTGACTGGAAAGGGCTACATTTTCTTCTTATTTAATGACAAGTACCACAGACAGCTGTAGAATACCCAAATGTTTGGGAAGCTTTGAGAATATGCAGATAGCAATGCATTTTTAATAAGAGCAATGATGCAGATGGCAACCTGAGGGCTGAATTTGAATCTTTGATGGAACTTATATAACTACAAAATCAATCATGAAATCCTATAAAATCCCTAGAGAAACCACTGTTGTTTCTTAAATCCAAATGGTTTATTACTTGCATTTCATTCACAGAATGACAACCTCGTTTTAATTTTTTATGTGATTATCGTCTTGTCTACTGGCCATAAATATATTAAAATTCTTTCTGTTTTCCAAAGAAGAAGGGAGATAAAGCTGATTAACTGAATATAATGTTTTCATTCTCTCTAGCTTCCAAGATGCAACACACAATAAATGTAAGCAAACACAATTTTGTTAACAACTATTCTGTGAGGATTTGCTGTTCATAAATGGAGCCAGGCTAGACAGACAAAGAACAAAGAATTGTAACCGTGAGATGCTACAGATCCTTTCTGGCTATGTGACTTCAGGGCACAAGCCATTCAAACCTTATTCTCTCTAAAATTACTTAGAAAGCCTCTAAGTAGCTCCTGACACAATGGCAGTCAAGTGTGGACTTTCCTTCACCTACTCTTCTGCAGTGAGTACACCTTGATTATTAACCTTCACCTTGAACTGAGGTCAGAGCTGCAAAGTCGGAGGTTAAATCATTAACTCCATGGTTCATTACCTAGACAGGCCTTTTATTTCTGTTTTTAGAGAAACACTCCAATATTACAAGTCATTGTGCTAAAGCAATCAGACTTTGAGGCTAGAAAACAACAAAAAAATCTTTTTCTCTATGTAGAGAAAAAATGTAAAAAACATCCAAATATGTAGGGGATATTATAGGTGGAATGTTTTACTGACAACTTTTGTGTTTAATGTGACTTCTTCACACTTGTTGATGTTCAACCTCTTCTAGGAAGCAAAATTAAAACTCAAAGGAAGAAAGGAAGGTAAGATGCATATTGATGCCATTAGTAATACAGAGACATTTTACACCTCTCAATTCACCAGCTAATGCAACAGATATTGCTACCTACCATGACTGTGGGTTTCACCTTGTTAGGTGCAACTGCTCATGCAGGAAACAAAAAAACAGGTTCACACTTTAAAGAATTATCTTTATCTCATGTTTGAAAGCAAAACTGCTAAAGGCATTTTTCAATTACATGATTCAGGTGCTGGAAAGGGGAAAGGAGTCTCCATTTTTAAGTTACGGTGTAAAAAATACAGCAGCACTAAATACTCCATTGAAAATTGCAAATTTCAACATTGCTGCGTGCCTTGCTGTACAGGTGGCCAGTGGTACCCTGGGCAATAAAACAGTCCTCAGTATTGCTTGGCAACCTCCTTAAACTCATAGAGTGACCAAAGTTCAAGGAAAATACCAAAAAAGAGTATTTATCTCCCTTGTGGTGCTCAGGCCAGACATCTGTAAGCGAAAGCCACAAAAAGGGCAGGCAGGTACTTACTCTCATCAACCTGCGGGTGCTGAACGACGACTTGGAAGAGCAGGCGAAGAATGCCCGGGTTCTGGGCATCCTGATCACAGCCCTGCAGGGACATGTTGAAACTGCCAGCAATATTGGCAGGCTGGCTGTCGCTCAGCTTGAACACCTCCGGGTTGCTGGGGGAGCCAGGAATGTAGTACTCCACCCTCTCCTCCTTCCTTTCGCAGTTGGAGAGGCTGTAGTTGTGGAAGAACACACTTGCTCTCATATTGGGAGGAATCACAAACTGCCACGTCATGAGCTCGTCTTCTGGAAAGCCCAGCGGGTAGTTAGGGGACATCAGGGTGATTGAAGACTCCCCATTCAAAATGGATTCAATGATGGATAACCCTAAAACAGGGAAGGAATCACAACATATAAAACAAGTTCCAGTTACTGAAGACACACTGGCATATCTAGTACCCAAGAAGCAGAGTCTTTTTATTTTGACAGTGAAATCACCCAATCCACCTACAGGTTAGGTTATTACAAAACACTCAGACTAAAACATATACTTAAGTTGATTCTTATGTCTTCAATTAGGGAAAAGGTAAAGAACGTATTAATACTGCAATTGCAGTTTAGCAGGTTAACCTTTCAAGCACATGGACAGACAGGCCTTTATTATTGGCAAAGGCAAGATCCTATTTCTACATTTGGACTTGCAAGAGCAAACACACAACCTGATAAATGCTTCTGCTTCACTGGATTTTAGGAAACAAAAGATGCAAGCTTTTATAGGAGCATGTAGCTCTCTTTACAAAAACCTCCTAAATTTAACAAAAGCACACCAGTAAAAATCCTCAAATAGGCACAATAAAACACAAATGTGAACGGTGCAGGCTGCATAAGACACTTTATCCTTGGATGACTCTTGGCAGTGTGAAGTTGGGTACATGGAAATTATGGTCCCACTCTAGGACTCCAGTGATGATGTGCAAGTGTGAGGAGTGCCAGGAATTACAAAACACTCATGTTCTAGAAGCTTGAACCTGGACCAGGTTTATTTTATAACTGATAGCAACAACACTAGAATTCAAGTGCAGAACAAGATTTGTCATGAGATCACAAAGTAACCCACTGATTCTTGTATAATATTCCAGGTATTTTAGGAAGATTATTACACAACAGTTTATGTTATTGTGCAGGTTGAAACAGATAAATGTATTTATGCAGCCTCCTGTGCCTTCCAGGCACTGCTTCGCCTTTTCCCACAGTCCTCTGCAGAATAGAGGTATTGGTTTGAGGCTCCAGAAGTTAAAGAAACTTTTTTAAAAGAAGCCAAACTACACACTGCAACCAGCAAAAAACTCTCTGGCTCATTCTAATTATACTACCTAGTCTCACCTAGCTGAATGCACAAAAACAAGAAAGCGGGTATGTTTAAGTTTTAAGAAGTTTAAGGAGATTTAAAATTATTAATGTATTTAATCAAATACTTTGACTCCAGAAGAACACCATCTAACTAAACTAAAGATCATACAACAATAGATTGCAGAAAAGAAGAAGCAGAAGGGAGTTAGGGATAGCAGCACCAAAACTACAAGGTTAGTGGTGAAGAAAGGTTGAAATAGGTTCTGCTGCAATCTGCAGAGGGCAGCTGCACTACTCTGTACTCACGTTTTATGGAAGCCCTGTTGGCTATGTTGAAGCCTGAGGTGGTGAGAGGCAAGTGCCACGGGAGGTGCAGGGACATGACAACCCCTCCCAGCAGTTTGATGCGAGACACGGAGCCATTCCTGCAGAAAGTGCCAATGTTGACCATGGCCTTATCAATACAGCTGTTGATGTTGTAGCTAACGGAGTCTGGGCACGTCTCTCCTGGTTTAATCTGTCTTAGCCAGGAGGTAGAAAATTTTAGTTCAAGTCCAGCTTTTGTACTTGCCTTCACGTCCCAGATATAAGTCCTGTTAAGGCGAGGTAGCCCCAGTGGGTAAAGATGAACATCTCCAAAGGGACATGGGCCTGACACACAGTCTAAATGCAGAGAGAGAAGAGCTGTGATACATTATGGAAAGCATTCCATTAAATGGGGAGTTCGATACTTCCCCTTCCTTGCTATTATCACAATTTTTAGGTTGCACTCATCTTTTTCCTCTACGTGCACTAAAAGACACTCTTGTGACATGGTCACAGGCTGTCTCCAAACAGGACTCCCAGCCCACAGAATAGACAGGATAAACCTGCTTTACTCAGGCTGACTAATAGGAGGGATTCATTGTCCCTAGTATTTCACCTTGTTTGCTGAAGAATTTAGAAGGTATTTAGTAAATAGGGCAGAGTCTGAATGGGCAAAGGGACAAATGCAGTGTCAAGAGAGCTGGAAATCACAGATCTAGACAATCTAGACATTTTATCCCATGTCCCCCAGAGAGTTCCTGGCAAATCATTCATCTTTAAATTTTTTACTGCTTGCCATGAACTATTTTTGTTCCTTTGGTGCCCAGATGAACAACAACAAATGCCACTGCAGCATTCTGGGGGGAACCCAGAAAACTTTCATCTTGAAAATCCAAGCAACTGATTGACACCCAAAATAAGTAACTTAAACCCATGCCTAGGCTTCAACTTAAAAGAAGAAATATCACAAGTGTATCTTGCAAATATATGAGATATAGTGAGCATTACTATCTGCATGAATCATATGAATAAAATTCCAAAACATGAAGAGAATTATCTTTGAACATCACCCCAGAAATAATGAAGATGTTACTAAAGACTGAATACCCAATGAAGTTCAGATCTAGTTGAGAAGTAGCACATGTTCATGCCATTAAAGATTACATACACCAGGGACAGCATTCAAAGCAGAAGAAGCTTTAGTTACACTTCTGAATTTACAGTTTCTTGATTTCAATAACATTCATTATTGATAAAGAAACATGCGCAGGTCTTCAATGTTTCTGTTGTCCTTGTAGACACAACCAAGCTGTTCATCAAATACATAATATATTATTATAAGTGTTCAGAGGCTTTTGACAGGAACAAAAAGATTCTTTGATGGGTTTATAAATCATGGAAAAAGGAAAGGCAGCAAGGAATTAATGCAACAAACTGCCTTCTAGCTGTTTCCAACACAGCCAAGTCAACATTAATTCTGCCAGCTGCCATACAGACTTCTTCAGCTTGCATAGCTGTAGCAGTCATTCAAGGTTACTGATCAGTGCTCAAAGATTTCTTACCTAAGATTATGGCAGATACCTTAATACAGCAGCAGGAAAAAAAGCACATGATTTTACCGGAGGAAAATTACCACTGGGGAAAAATCAAAAATCTGTATCTTACCAATATTTTTCCGAATTTCTGTGATGAAATATTTCTCTGGAGTACTACAGGTAAAGGCAAAAGTCACATTCTCCCCAGGCTTTATCTTGAGTTCAGACATGATGACATTTTTCATACGGATTCGACAGCTTGGTGGAAGACCGGGTTTCAGTTTAATCGTAACTGTGGTGTTGTCCGCTTTATGAAGAGAGATTGTAAAGGAAGCTAAGAAAGAAAAAATACATAGAACAGAGGTGTTTTGTTACTAACACATATGAGTAACACCAGGCTCTCCACACAGCCCCACAGATGCCACAGAGTCTGAATATTAGCATCCACTTCTCAGGAGCCTCTGGTGTTGTACCAACAGAAAATACCTCCTCTTTTCCAGCACAGAAACATAAAAATATGCTTGCTGCATGTGCCCAGGAGAGGTATACAGGGAATTTGTGCACAATCTGTTCTGCTCCAATTTACCCATACCTGTGTAATTTATTTCACATTTAAAAAGTAGCTCAGCTATTCCTTCCAAATTTTTGTTCTCCTGATTTTTGTTTTGAGTTTGTTATCACACAGCCCGCTTCATTTCTGAAAGCACCCATCAAGTCACGACTCAATTCAGGAAGTTTATTCAGCAGCCAAACAAAAAAAAAGAGCTTCAACTTTAATCACAGACAATGGTAACAGATGAATTTGTGGGTGTACCTCAACAATTACTGCAGGCCAGATGAGGTATTCCAGCAATACCAAAAGCAGATACCAACAGATATTTTTAGGTGCAGTCATGGCCCTCTCCTACCCTCCCCACCCTTCACAACTCATTCCCTGAAGGTACTGGATGTCTGTGCAGTGCCCCTCACCAGCACAGAACACATCTGTGGCCTAAAACAGATTGTGTGTGCTTGGACACCTCCTCTCCATCTCTGCCATGACCATCATTGATTCACAGCTTTTGGGAAATACTTCACAGATTTCAACCTATCCTCAAGTACTGCCAGATGCAGGAGCAGCTCTCACAGGAAATACTGAAGCCACTGAATAAACTGCTTGTTGAATAATCTTTTATTTTATCGGTAGCAGTTTATTTAAAAAATGACTCAAACCTGTCTTCTAAAAATATACACACAATATAAGACACCAGAGAGTAGTTACTGGACATTTAAGATGACTATTATTAACTTCAATTGAATGCTTAGCAAATATTGAGGCCAGTCCTGGCTGAAATAAGTGAAGTTTGCAGTGAAGTCAACTATACCCCAGCCCCTGGTGAAAATCTTGAGGACAGGACAGACAGTTTTCTGCTGCTTGTTTTCATTGCTCTCCACTCCTTATTTTAGTGTATGGAAGACAAAATCACCAGCACAGAATCACACAGACAATGTCTACAGCACTTGGACTTTTAGTGTATATGAGGAAAAAAAAAAAAAAAATCACACATTTTAAAAATAGTAAGAGATCTAGAAATAAAGGTACTCCAAGTTCGGTTCAAAAACATCTCTGCCTTGAGTGGGACATCACACAGGGCTTCATGACAAAGCTCTGCCCATATGCCAGTTGGGAATCCTCTTGTTCATTAACCTCAATGAGAAAAGATTTGTGCTGGCAACCCAGCAGAGCAGTGCCCTGAGGGAGCCCCTGAAGCCATTCCAATTACCAGGCAGCATGTCAGGAAGGTGTAGGAGAACAGCTGGCTCACACACATCTGCAGGATGCCCCAGGCTCTGTCCAACTGCTCAGCATCCCTGGAGCACCAGTCTGGTCCACACCAGCTGCTGCTGGTGCAGGAGTGATAAGGATGCTGATCAGATCCCAGACATGCAGGGGCTCATCTGGTGGGGTTGTGGGGAATGGGGCTGAACACACCATGGGAACCCTCGATCAGCAGAGCCCTCTAATGGCACACAGGCACATCAGAGACCCTCAACAAATATACACAACCCAGCTCAAAGCTTCCGTCATAACAGCTGCTGAAAGCAGCTTATTGCATTAGTGGCTCAATTTCACACAAAAACCATCTGTTCTATTGAAGAGAGGTTGAAAAACCTCCTAATTTTTACAGGATTCTCATGCTTTTGCAAGGCCTGACTTTCACTGCAATGCTTTGCAAAAGCCCCGGGGACCAAGCAGTGAGCACGGTCCTTCCTTGCCACTGGAAACATTGTGGCTCCAGATTTGGCAACACCAGGCATCAAAACCCCACTGCTAGGGGGAGCAGGGCAGAACAGAGTACTCAGAGCCCGTCATGTGCTTATCTGAGTTTTGCTGGTCTTGAGCAGCCTTTCTAGCTTTGCTACACAATCTTGGAGTCAAAAGACTTAGTAAGTCCTTGGAACTGCCTTAGCTATTTGCCTCCAGGATCAAAGGTTTTAAATTAAAATCTCAAACACCACGAGGCTTGCCAAATTGCAGCACATATATTTAACCACAAGTTTACCAACCCTCTAATACCATTATTGAGTATCTGTTTACTGAGTAACTTTCCTACAGCATTTAAGTGACAGGACAGTTCTCTGACCTGAGAGCCTACACTGCGTTCTCCTGCCTCTTCCAATGGCTGGCACACTTTACATCTGTGTTTTCTGCCTTAGTAACGCTTTTGCAGAGGTTTTCAATATGGATTTTCCTGAGGAAATAAAAAAAGATGATGGTGGGAAATGCCTGTACAATGACCTCCGAGGCACACAAGGGACAATTGCAGGGGCAATGTCCATGGGGTGGGGAAGAGAGTAAAGCTAAACAAGCAGTCAGTGCTGCTCTTCCTCATTCTTCAGGAGGAAGCAGTCTCCGGAAAAGAAAGCGAAACAACTGTTTCCAACTTAGCCCGGAGTTCTATTTTCAATACCACTGGGTTCTTTTTGGGTTCTCTTGGGGTTTTATTTTACAACTCTTAGTGCACAAAATACCTTTGACCATGATGTTCATAACTTTTCTAGTGTTTAAGTCATCTAGACATGATGCTTTAATAACATAAACAAAATAATTAATAACTATGGACAAAAGACATTTATTTCTTGCACAAGGTAATTGTCATACTCATCTTGTAAGTTTATAAGTATTACTGAAAAGTCTGTTTCTAACTCTCTAGTCAGTCATCACTGTTCCTTTCCCCATCCCTGGGACAGCACAAGCCACATGGCCAACTGGACAGGGCTGAGACCAGGACCACCAACAGCCAGCACTCCTCCACCACATGCTGGCACATGGCTCTAATTTTCAGTCATGACGATTAAGTTCAAGCATAGCCTTAAACACGTGACTAGTTTTAAATCAAAACAAATACACACCCTGAGCCAAAACCAAAGAAGATAAATTTTCAACACTTTGAAATAAGCAAAGGGTCCTACAAGGTCAAAACAAAGTATCCTCTTCCCCAGCCCCTGAAACACCCAAATTCGGCTGCTTTCCCAAATTCAGAAAATTTTTTTCCCTTCCTCTTGCTGACTCCATGACCATATAATCATTCTTCATTTGATCTCTCTGCAAGAATATCAAATATTTGCCAGGTCAATATTGTTTTCCAGCATAGATTTATCCCACTCCTCAGCTTTCCTAAAAAGAACCTGCCCAAAATCACAGAAGTGTTTTCAATAATCAGTATATATATAATCACAGCAGTAGGCAAGAAGGATGCAGATCTATACCAATTCAGGCCAGCAAAGTTGCCTGCTAGAAGCCCACATAAGAACAGACATATTCTATGCATAAGCAAACAGTCTGCCCAGATGAAAATCCACAGATAATAATTTTGGCCAGGAAATAAGAGCATGGTGCTGCAATGCCAACAGCAAGCAGCTGCTAGGAATGTACTAAGCTGCATTCGACCATCAAATCTAACAGGAAAAGTAGAATAAAAGAATCACGCGGGAAGTATATGCAGTGATCCCAAAGCCATTAAAATAAATGAACAAATGGCTAAAATCCCCCAAACTACAGCCACACATGAGCAGCACAACAGAGGGATGACTTAAAGAGCACCTTCATTGGAGAGCTTTTATAAACACGAGTGAGTCTCCTCATGACTCACAGCAGTCTGTCTTTGTCTGTGACTCCCACTGCATGCCTTTTTATTAGGATTACCCGTAACTGGACACATTTATTGAAAAGAAGCAATTTCCATGCCTTATTGCTGCTGCACAGGGATGACACACAGGATATCCAAACCAACATGAGGAAGCATTGCCAAGCTGGATCTCGTCTCTGACTATACAACAATGGAATCATTCAGCTAGAAGATGTTAGAGGTAAAGCCTGCAGTCCTGAGCTGGTTCATAGCTGATGCAGACAGCTGATCTCACCCTATTCTTTTTTCCCTCTAAGCAATTACAGTTTTGCAGCCTCCCTTGGATATTTCATCAACTGCCCTAATATCAATCTACACCCTCCCTTCCACAATTTTTCTACTGCTCATCTTCATTTCAGAATGTGCCTTCGTGAGAGTTTTCTCATCACAGCATCCCTCTATTACTAGTGTAATACCCCTCTCTGCACAAACACAGCTTTTTCTTAATAGGATGATATTTCCAAACTGTTATGTTAGTGCTCAGAGCTCTTCCACTGGGGTTAGAAGCAAACTGCATAGTGTAAAACAAGTTAAATCACTCCAGAGAGTTGAGCCAAAATTTATTTACTGTGTTTGCATCTAACAGCTAATAGTAATTTTAACATGTACATATAAATGTCACAAGGACATTTTTCCTGTACAAGAGGGAGTACATTTTTCCTGTACAAGAAGACAGCTGGCAAATAGTCAGGTCAGTAGCACTCACATAGAGTGTGTGTACGTATACACGAGCAAAGGACTTGGCAGAACAGCAATTTATATGGCTATGTAAAGTACCTTGCTACACAAAGCAGGAGCTAGAACAGAGTCCAACTAGTTTTGGCTTGACAGCTGCATTTTATTGCAGTAATTTACCCATAAGGATCTATGGATCGTTCCACAAGACTTGACTAGGTGGATTAAAACAATCCAAAGAGCCCCAGGGAGAACAAGAAAACAAAACCCACAATGAAATCCCAGATCTTAATTTATCCCAGAAATATGTACAAAAACTGTTAGTTTGCTCATTCCAGTATAATCACGGGTTTGTTCCATGACTGCCATTTTTACCGAAACCCAGCTGGATGGGGCTGACTCAGCCACCATTCATGAGCTGGAGGAGCCGGGCTGCTGTGCAAGACGAGTAGCAGCAACTTGCTCTGATTATGAAATACCTGTATCCAAA